AAATTCAAGCATCCGGTAGCATACTAAACATATATACATTAAACATACATTAAAATTAACCTATAACACAGTAGCCATACATTACATTTAACCTGAGATAAATCTGAATTTAAATTAAAACCTGTGCTAAAATATTAAACATTTGCAGAGAAATTGGACTTTTGCAGGGATCTTAAACTGATTTTAAACAGTATCTACACTAATAGTTCTGCATCATTTTGTCTTATTGCTCATTACTTATCTTCATCAGGTCTGTTTACAGTAAAAACAGTCTCTTACTGTGTGTCTGAGGGTCCATTACTGAAATAGAGAGGATCATCTTTGGACATAAACACTCCTCTTCAGTCTGAGAGTCAAACAGTAACACTGACTGTGAGCTCAGACTCAGGAAACAAGTTTGTTTACGAGGCAAACACAAGAGAACTGAGAGTAACACACACACACACACACACACACACACACACACACACACACACACACACACACACTCACAGTATACAGTAGAATAAACACAGTCAGTTATTATTCAGTCAATCAGCACTTTGTGTCCACAGATCAAACTGTTGAGTTCAGTCCTGTACAGTCCACAGGGAGAAAACTGACTCACACACAGTAAAATAATAATAATGTTGTATTAACACTCACCCTGCCTCACCCTTCTGCTGTCGACACAAAATGGAGTCTGAACCAACTGAACTCTTTCACTTTCAGGTTCCCTTCCTGTTTTTATCTACCATCTACCTTGATAACACCTGACAGTTTTGCTCCTCCCCTCTCCATTTACAGGAAATCAGCTCTATATCTCTGTGTGTCAGTGTGTTTATGAGCGTCTCTTTTGAGAATTAAAATGAGTTTCCATATGAAATATTCTACGAATTATTTTTTATTTATTAATCACTTTTTATCGCCAGTGTATGAACAGGTTGTAACTTAAAAGGTCTGAGGTAGGAAACAGCCATGAGTTTAAAAATTGCTTCAGTAACAAGAAGATAATAATACAGATAACCCCTAATAACCCCTAATAACCCCTAACCCATGTAACGCCCCATCAAAAAGGCGCCGACAGTTCATCGTCCACGCTCCTTTTCCATATCAACAAATTAGCTGAAAGTACAGCTGTCGCGTCCTCTCGTCCAGTATGAGGTCTGTATGTATGAACAAGTGATTTTATTTGCTGTTGTAATGTTTCTATTTAATTAATAAAGCTTTAATAACAACCGCCAACGGCCGCTGTGGAGGCCACGCCCCCTCCCGCCGCCGTCCGTTACAGATCTGTGACGCAGATTTAAAACGGTTACAATGAGCTGAGAGGGCGCGAGCTCGCAGGATTAACGGCCGTAACGGTTTAAACGTTGCTGTTAAACATCCTTCCGGACAGAGGGACCGTGTTTCGGTACTTTGTGGTTCACAAGAAGGTTCAGGAGGATCTGAAGTGTTTCTGAGGATTATTCTCCGGTGACATTTTATTTCTCTCTGCGAAGCTAGCTTAAACTGCATGTTAGCTCACGGCCATATCCACGTGCGTTAATTTAACAACAACAACAACAACAACAACAACCGGGGACGCCTGTAGTGTGTAACAGAAACCGAGCACTGTAGAAATCACTGTGACACATTTTAAAATAAAGTTTTGTAGCTTTTAGAAACGTTAGCGGTTAGCCGTTAGCCGTTCAGACGTAGCGTCGTTGGCGCGCTCAGTACCGGAAGCGGTCGCGGCGCGCGTTCGTTACGACGCTTTGTTGTTGTTTTTCTTTCCTCCAACACAAATGGAGCGAGAGATTCACGGTGCTGGGGATCCACATATCTTTATTTGGGCTTTAAAGTAGTTCAGTCAGTGAGGCTTTCTGATAAAGAACAGCAACTTCATCATCATCATTTTGGTTGCCTAGTAACGACAGAAAGCGGCGCGGTCCTTCTTATTTTACCGCTCACTGACAAACTTGTGTGTTCTGGTTTTTGTGAACATTTTCAGTGAAGAGAGTGATGAAGGACTGACTGCCAACTATCTGCACGTCCTGAAATAATCTTTATATTAATTGTAATTTGAACTGTTCCATATGCAGGTTGGGGTTTTTATTTCCAATACGGAGGATTTGTGAGAGAGGATGAAGGAGGATTTTGAGCCTTGCGGGATTCTCCACCTGGATTACAGGTAAGATTTAAATATTTGTATCCAAGGAGGAAATAAACACTAAAGCTAATGTATTAAATAATGTGTTACTAGTCTGGTATTAACAGAAACTGAACATTTGAAGGTCCAGTGGGTGAGATTTAGGGGCTTTATTTACAGAATATGCACATTTCCCATTAATTCCCCTGACTATGGTGGCCTGCCAGGGTCTAATTTGTCCCTTCTTTCTCATAATGAGCCGAAAATCATTTTACACTTCTCACTAATATTAAGTTTTGTGCTTCAGTAAAGAGTCTTGCACTCAGCTCAGCAATGAGAGGGTTTTAATAATACAAATCTAGCAATATTTTGACCTGTGATTGGTATGTGGACAAATATATATTTTTCTATTATTCAGTGTAATTATATTAAGCTTTATAATTTCCAGAATACCATAGTTTTAGATTATGTTGGTGTAAAAACCTTAAATAATGTAATATTATATATATATATATATATATATATATATATATATATAATAATAGTAAAAACATGTAGTCTACACAACTGGTCTTAATGTTTGAGTCTTAATATTATTCCCAAAGTGAGACATTTCTGGATTTAACAGATAACGCAGGGCTGCTGCTGGATGATTTTGATGCTATTTGACTTTTTTAGACTATTATTATGAACCCACCCATGAAACCCGCCCAGGTTGTAGTTTTTCACATCCCACTCATGCAGTCATTAGTAAGAAAGATGTATTAGAACGTATTTATATACATTAAATATGACTAAATATTGTTTGTAGAGCAGCAACAGTAAAGTCACTGTCATCGACTCCAGTAAACTGCAGCCTCTCTGCGAGTGAGTCCTGCTGTCTGTCTGCAGAGGACATAAACAGAGGAGCGCGACCATAAACACAAACATACATAACGAGCGTTATTTAATTAGCGCAGTAGTTTATCAGAGTTGTTGTCCTGTACAGTAAACAGACACAGCAGAGGACAGAGCAGCACGCCAATAAATGACACCAAAACGCTCTGCACAGTTTCTATTGCTACCCTCAATGACGTCACCAGCTGCTGTTCACCTGCTTATTCAAAGTTTATTCATTTTGAACGTGTCGGGTGTCCAAGTTGCAACCACATTGGACTCTACATTTCCTTGCGTCTCCAGAAATACACCCCGCCTAGTGTGAAGTCGGTCGGATGAACGGTTGTTGTAAAAGGTGAGGAACACATAATGGAACAGGTGAGCGAGTGTGCAGGAGTGCGTCACTGTAACCGTCCCGCCTTCAGCTCCATGTTACAGTTTCTAAAACGTTGGACGAGATGGACGTCGTATCGACGACTTTCAGCTATTTTGTTTTATTGGAAAAGGATCATCGCTGTCAGTCTGCTCGCAGGAGAAGGACAATGAACTGTCGGCATCTTTCCCAACCACGAGCTGAGGGAGGTAAAAAATAATTTCCATTCAAATACATATGCTAATAGGCTAATGTTAGCTTCCCACTTTTGAGTTTCTTCCTGCCCAATTTAGCAAACAAGAGCCTAGCATTTAGCTAACATTAGCTAACTTGATATGTGACTACATATGTGTTGCTTTTATCTTTAAATTGTCTTCAAAATGTAGTTGTCTTTTCAACATAGATTAGCCTAGCACATAGCATATCTAAGTACAGGAGGAAGTTGAAGGAATCAGTCAATGTGGTCTTGGATGGTTTCGTCCGGTTGGCTCTGCGCCGTATGTTTACCAGGACGACTGTGTCAATAGATGGCTGCCACATTAGAGTTAAATGTCCTGGCAGTTTTGCTAACATTAGCTATCACATGTAACTAGCTAGCAAACAATGACTGTAAAGTAGCTAGTTAGCCATTTTTTGCTCTATAGCTAAATTATAGCTTGCTAGCCAGCTTATGATTAAGCCAGAGTAGCTAGTGAGCTAGTGTTTTGCTTTGCAGCAAAGGTTGAGCGAACTAACCGCCTAGCTAGGCAGCTAATAATTAGGGTAGATTAATTCTCTAACGATTGATGTCAGCATGTTTGGTAACATTAGCTAACTTAATATATGACTATTTATATATGTGTAGCTTTTGTCTTTTAATCATCTTCAAAATGTGTTTTTTTTATATAGCACATAGCTCTGTAGCAAAACACAAGCTAACTAGTCCCCTAACTAGCCAGCTAATGATCAGTGTAGACTAATTACCTACTGATTATTATGCCAGCTAGCTCTTTAAGTAGCATTTTGCTTACAGATGTTAACTTAAGATGTGACTATATATGTATAGCTTTAATCTTTTAACCACATTAGCTTTCAAACTAGCCAGCTAACAATTTATGTAGATTAGCTAGTTAGCTGGTGTTTTCCTCTGTAGCAAAACAAACACAGCTAACTAGCTACCTAGTTAACCAGCTAATGATTGATATAGATTAACTAGCTAGCTGGATTAGTTGGATTAGGTATAAAGTTGATTAAAGTTCTTCCATAACTGTTATTGGACCGCAGACAGAAAAGGGGCGGGACTTAGGAAGGGTTGATTGCTATAGTTACATAAAATAACCATGTATTTCACTATTTGTGGTCAACAGGTGGCGGCTGTATATGTGTCTGTGTTGGGGATGAGCTAGAAGAGGCTATCTCTGAGGAGGACCCGCAGCCATCTGATGAGCGTGAAGGTGGAGAGACTTTGATCAATGAGGCGTCATCGCTTCAGGAGACACCTGTTGACCACAACTATTTTGCCCAGGTGAGTCGCTGTGAAGGAAAGTGGCTGATGACCATTTGCTGGTTGAATCCAAAGTGGTCTGACTTCCAATCAGACAAATGATTCCAATATTTCCTACAATGTATTATCACAAATAAGGTTCATCATGTTCAAAGTAGTGGTTTCTGTTTTTTATTAAGAGAAGTTAAATATACATGTAAGTAAACAGCTGTCAGTCATCTTCAACAATGTAGTTTAAACACAGCAGCTCTATTTCTTGTCTACAAACTAAATCTCAGAATAATTATGACAGCATCACTGCTGAATACATAAACTAAAACCGTAGGTGCAATTCTCTGAAATGGACACTAGGTGTCAGGTTAAGACCATGATGGGGAAACTACATGAACTACATTACTGCATATTTTCATAAAGTTTATTTATAGAGCGTATTTAAAAACAACAACCATCAACCAAAGTGCTTTACAAAGAGATTAAATGAAAGACAGGAATGATGAAATAAACACAGAAATAATAACAGGATAAAAGTAGACTAATAAAAACATAGAATATCCTGATAGGCCTCTGCAGGACAACAGAGGCGTCAGCAGCCTGATCTGCTGCTCTACTGCGTTCACCCGGGATCCAGATCACCACACAGAGAGGCAACAACAACAGAGAGGCAGAATATTTTCACATTTACGTCGGATTCATTTCGACCGAACCAGAGCTGGTGATTGTTGATACAGTGGAAAGACAAACAAAGAAGAAGTTTTGGTAAGTTTTATTTTTTATGTACCAAGACTTTTTAAAATAAAAAAAGTAAAATACCTTCATGTTACAGTCTGATTCAATGTACCTGTGTAACTGTATTTTATAAGATGATGATCTCACCAGGACCAGTTGCAGAACCTCTGGACTAACCAAAACTGTCTTCTACTCTCTGCAGTCTTAAACATCATCAGTTTCGGTTCTCAGATCAGCACGTCTGAGATTCATCATGCAAAGGACGGTAAGGACCTTGGTACACGGGCTGCTCTACCAGGTGAGCTACCGGGAAATGTGACACTTTGAATAACAGAAATATACCTCTCATTATAATTATTAATGCATTCATGAGTGTTTAAATATTTTGTAAAAGTTTTCATTCATTTATGACAGATTATATCTAAAGACACTTTTCAATTAAAGCAGGTGTACTTTAGAGCACAATATTTCCCTCTGAGATGTAGTGGAGTAATTATCTGCAAATTAACAAGATGCATATTTACACATATTTACACAAAATCATTACAAAACTTTCAACCAATGACTCTCCAAGGAACAAACAGGATAGAAAATGGAGAAATCTGCTTTTCTGATGCACATGTTACAGTAGACAAAACTACAGTCAGTATAAAGCAAAGGAAAATACAAATTACAAAATGTGTGCCATGACATGATTTTTAAAAACATATATGATTTTTTGAATACATTAGTCAGATATTTCCTCTGTAGTCAGACTATATCCTTAAATCTTAGACCTAAACAGTCCAAATAAGTCAGGTACCCAGAGTTGGAAACCCTGCTACAGGTAAGCTGGAAGCAGTCGAGAAGCTCATCAGAACTCATGGTGGGGGTTCACTTTCTAATTTCCTCAAACATTGGTGGCATCTTGGACTGATCTAGTCGAGTTAATATCACATTAATCTGAACAAAAGACATGATCCCCTCTGACGTGTGTTTAACTTACTGATGATGTATTTTCTCTGCTGTAGCTCAGTCCTGTTAATTTACCCCCTCAAACACTCATAGCTCTATTCAATTCAATTCAATTTTATTTGTATAGCGCCAATTCTCTCCTTCTTTTAGCCACTTTCCCTTTAATCCCACAGTTGTTTATTATAGTGGTTCAGTTCAGGAACCTGATAACGTTTGTACAGGGGCTGGTACTGGTTCCCTCAGTAAAATGTGTAAATTAACAGCAGTTCCTCATCATTCAACAGTGTGCAGGTACAAAGAAATACAGAGAAACCCACAGACTTTACAGTAGTTCACAGTGCTTTAACCTGTGTGCAATTTAAATGACTGTAAATTGGTTAAAACTTGAGCCACACATGTACAATTTGTGGACCCAAAGGATCTGCAGTCTTTTTGGGTTCAGCACATCAGAATGAATCCAGACTCGGGTCCTGGTCCAGGTGTAGCAATCTCAGTGTGTCTGCAGAGACTGTAGAAGGACAGAGCAGCAGCAGAGCACTCCAGATACACTGATGATACTAAGAGGAACACACAGGGAGCTGATCTCAGAGCAGTTCAGACTGCAGCACTGAGAGTCGTCTCCACTGGTTGTGATTCCTCTGTCAGTCACTGCTGGATGAAGCTCTCCTCTCCACTCTACCTCCCAGTAACATGGCCCAGTCAGAGCTGATGCTGCTGCTTCAACCTCTCTGGATCATCAGGACACAGCGGATCCTCCAACACAACCTCCTTCCTCACCACTCAGAGTCTGACTGAGGTCACCTCCTCAATCTGAGGAGAGAAGGAGACAGAGGACAGCAGAGATAAATCAGTGTTTACAGAGACTCCCTCCATCAGCACATCCAGTATAAAGACCAGCAGGGAGTTCAGTCCAGTTCAGACCAGCAGTGGAGCGGCTGTGTAGTGTAGCCTGCTTCCTTTCAGCTCTCATGTTAACGTATTGGAGTGAACACACTGAGCTGAAGCTCACAGACCTGCAGACACTTTGGACATCAAGTCTGCTGACTCTGCTGATTTCACTGAAGTACACAGTGGAAATAAAGTGCTGAGAGTTTCTGAACGCATCATTACTGCAGAAACAGAGAGACATTCACTGCCCACTGGATTTCATCTGAAATCTTACAGGACAAATGTGTAAATCCTCAAACTATTTGGACAAACAAGAGACAAATGGACAGATATATATCTGATGTTAAAGGTCCTACATGTTCATACAAAGACTGAACAGCAACACATCAGCTGTGGGTACTGGACTCCAGTAGAGGTCCTGGTCTGTACAAAGACCACATGGTCACTAAATGTAATTATGGTTGTTTGCAGGCTTCAGTCAGACTGATCTCAGAGCTGTGACAAAGACCAACTGATCAGTTGGGTAGTGTAGAAATGAGAGAACAAGACTGCTGGGACCAGCATGGACTGACTCAGACTCTCTACTGACCTCAGAGTCTCCAGACTACAATGTGGACTCTCCACAAGATCAGACAGCAGCTTCACTCCTGAATCCTTCAGGTTGTAGTTGTTACTCAGGTCCAGCTCTCTCAGATGGGAGGGGTTGGACTCCAGAGCTGAGACCAGAGAAGAACAGCTGATCTCTGACAAACTGCAGTTCCTCAATCTTAGTAAAGAATAAAAGAATAAAAAATTTTTAGAATTAAAAAGTTCAGTCAATATAAACATACAGCTTTATAAAATGTTTGAAAAAGCAAAAACTGAATATTGTTATTGTCTGATAATAAAGTTTATTGAACTATTTATTTTATTTATGTATTTTTATTCTCATTTATTAAAACCCTGATGTGGAATATCAGATTAAATCCAGAGCTGAAGAGGTTCAATGTGAATTATTCAGTGTAGATTCTTCTTGTTATATGAAGGTTTTAAATGTGGAGCTCAACATTGCTCTGCCACAGTTAATGGACTAAACCACTGAAGAAGAAAACAGACTTTAGCATTAAGATACTCAGTGTGGATCAGTTTAATATCAACCTGTCTGCACTTTACTGTCAGCACAACTTTCACATCACATTCATCTCAGCACAGAAATAAAAAATGGTGTCTGACCTCAGAGTCTCCAGTCTACAGTGTGGACTCTCCAGAAAACCACACAGCAGCTTCACTCCGGAATCCTGCAGGTTGTAGTTGTCATTCAGGTCCAGCTCTCTCAGATGGGAGGGGTTGGACTTCAGAGCTGAGACCAGAGAAGAACAGCTGATCTCTGACAAACTGCAGTCCCTCAATCTGAATAAAGAATAAAAGATGTAAGTTTAGAAAACAATGTTCCTGCTTGAAATCATTCAGTGTTTAATAATCTGTTCAGAGCTGAAGAAGGTTTAGAATGTACAAGTTTAGAAAATGGAAACTCCAAACACCTGAACCCAACAGGATGCAGGTTGCAAACTGTAAAATACAAAAAGTGAAAAAGAGCTCTCATTAATATTAATGACAACGTGCTGCTGCTTCAATAAAGACGTAGTGACTTCAGCTCTTAACCTCTGTCAGCTCCACCAGTGGCTCCATCTATACAAACTCATGTTGTGCAGCCAAACACAAAGAAAAAGCCACAGAAAATGATTGAAGGTTCCACTATTAAAGATAAAATGCTGTCATCTTGAGTGTAAATATTCAGTCAGTAGAAACGTCACATATCATCAGAAAGGTTTGGTACAAGCTGATATGGTAATTGTCTGATAGAGAAGAAAATATGTTTCTGTTTGTATTCAGAGGATCATGAGAGAAAGGTGGAAATGAAATGATGAAGAGCTTCAGAGAGAATCAACCAGTGTTGAATTATTAATGTTTTATTAAATATGTTTGAAATATGAAGCTCAAAATCTCATTGTTAATCAGCATAAAATCCCCTCAAAACTGTTGATGATAAAACTGAGAATGTATGAATGTCTTCCAGGAGAGACTGAACAGTGAGCCAGACTGACACTAATGTTACTGAGACATCATCTGATTTGATGATTCACAAAAGGTTCATTAATGACAGATATTTGCTTGTGTTTATATGATTTTGGTATTTAATAGAATTTATTTATCAGAGTAAACTCAGACTGTTTGAGGGGCAGAGGGGGAAAATAAAAAGCACCAGTCCACAGAAAGTTGCAAAGGATTTATGGCAACACTGCTTAGTCCAGGTTAGAATAAGGACCCTACAGGGAACTTCCTCATCATCTTCATCTTTATAAAAATCTCTGTTTCTCCCACGCTGTTGGACAGACAAAGGACGTCCCGGAGGGGCTGCGAGCCAAGCTGCTGCTAACGTTAGCTCAGCTTGTTTCTCTGATAACTTAAGATCCAGACGTCCGATGACTAAAATCCTTCATCCGGTTCAAATCTAGAGTTAAAAAGCACCAAGATCTAAACAGTGGATGGTAACAATGTGGCTTCAGTCTGGATAAACAGTCAATGTATGACAGCTTCTGGCAGACAACCACAACGCTGACGCAGGCACAAAGGGGATATGACGCCATCGACAGGCAGCCGGTGATTTCTCTGAGTTTGAACATTGTTGGGAAACACTTGGGATAATGGAAGAACTCAACTACATATAGAACATAGAGCCAGAGCTTATACACTGTTTAATGGAATAGATTATTGATTTAATCAACTATCATCAACTAATCATGTAAATGCACATTTTAATGAGGAAATGTTAGATTATATCTTTAAAATATCTGAATTTTAAAATATACTGTGTGTGTGTGAATGACTTTGTAAAATATTTATGTTCCTGTAAAAATATTGTTTTGAAGTTTTTATATAAAATACATAATTCCTTTGAAACTTTATTTATAAAAACGTAGAAATATTGATTTTCACTTGCAGCCCACTTTAAGATAAATACAGTTTCCTACTAACACAATACAAATTAAAGCTGCAAGCAGCGTTGGACGGGATCTCGCACCCGGCGGGGTGGGGCACCGCGTCGGGGCGTGCTGCGACCGCGTCACTTGCTACTTGGAGTAGAACATGAAAGTATAAAACGTGATACTTCATGTTGCCACTAGGTGGCGCTCTGACTATTACTGAATATTATCACATAAACGTGTTCAGGGCCGGACTCTTATCGGACAAGTGAAGTTTCCTTGCAGTCGGATCATGTACGCAGAAGTTATTACGAATCCCTCTTTTTATGGCGAAGGATCGAAATTGCACACCACGGGACGCCACGCCACATCCACGAAGTTTAACGGAATAACGTGAATAGCACAACTTTAAATACTGAATGTGTTTAGATGGCTGTGTCCAAATCTGAAGTCGGTCCGATAAATGCCCTAGGAGGAGTTCGTTCAAATACAACGTGTGCAAATCGCCAAAAATGGCCACAAAATCCAAAATGGCCGACTTCCTGTTGGGTTTGAGGTATGGGTCCTTGAGACTTTTCTGCTTCTTTTATCATGATACACATGCGTACCAATTTTTCGTACATGTGGGCCTTACGTGTCTTGGGGGCTGATTCTGGGGGGCGTGGCTTAGCCGTTTGGCGGCGCCCGTGCACGGGGACAATGTCATATTGGTATTTTCGCTACGTTTGAATTTTGTGCAAATTTCCATGACTTTTTGAGAATGCTGCGGGGGTCAAATATGCGGTGAAAGAGGCACAAAATAATAATTCCTACAGGAACAATAGGGTCTTGCACTGGTCAGTGCTCGATCCCTAATAATACAGTAATACAAACTAATTTCAGAGCCAAACAGTTCAGACTGATGAACAAAGTTTTGTTTGTTTTAAAAAATGAAGTCACTGAAATTTAAAACTTTTGTTATGGATTTAAATTTGGTAGATATACAAAGAGCAAACCCATGAACTGACCTCAGAGTCTCCAGTCTACAGTGTGGACTCTCCAGTCCAACACACAACAGCTTCACTCCTGAACCCTGCAGGTAGTTCTTACTCAGGTCCAGCTCTCTCAGATGGGAGGGGTTGGACTTCAGAGCTGAGGCCATGACTTCACAGTGAGTCTCTGAAAGTTTACAGTCAGAAAGTCTGTGAATACAAACAATATAAGGTTAACGATATGACACACAATTATAAAAAACAGAATTTATGCATTTAGATCACAAAGAACATTAACATGAGCTGTGGCTCAGTTTGTAACTGCACTCGTTTGTATTCACTTCAGTTGTATGTATGTATATAGTCATACACAGAACAACATATAGCAAAGTATGTCCTACTTTGTCCCGTTTCTAAGTACTAGGATCAGTGGGCAGCCACTGTGCAGCACCTGGTTAATGGTACTGATTGGAGAAATGAACCTAACAACATATTTGGATTGTGAGGAAACCGGAGCACTTAAAGGAAACCCACACAAACACAGGGAGAACATGCAAACTCCACCCAGCTGGGAACCCAGGACCTTCTTGCTGTGAGGCCACAGTTCAAATATTTAACAATCTCTTTTCTGAGATTCAAACCTGTTGTTCCACCAGTGCATGCTGGGATTCCGTGTCTTCATCACCAGACTTGTATGTATGAATACAGACAACAGCTTCAATCAATGTTGTAAATACTAGACAGTTCTCCTGGTTGATATTCATAATGTTTGGTTTAATGTGTGAGAGATGAACACTTTGTGTGACTGAACTGTGTTGTTGTGATGTTGTACGTCTGTAATTTGTTCTCAGCTCTGTGTTTTAAAACAGATCCTGATCTTAATCAGACTTTCTGAATAAATAAAACTGAACTCACTCACCAACTGAAACTGCCAACATTGTAACTGTAAACTATAAGTGTGACATACAAATGTTATTTTCAAATGTTTAAATACTTTTTTTTTGTTTTAATAATAAAGAATAATAAATTTTATTTATAAGCTCTTTTCTCAGTACTCAGACACTATTCATAAAAACATAGAAGCAGCAAAACAACATCAAATAATAAAACACTAAAAACACACCAGAATAAGCCTAACATTAAAAGCAATTTTAAAAAGGTGAGGTTTTGTCAATGATTTGAATGTTGGAAGGTCGGTACAGTCACAGATGTGTTTGGGGAGAGAGTTCCAGAGGGAGGGGGCTGCTACAGAGAAGGCTATGTCGCCCCAGGTTCGGTGCTTGGTCCTTGGTGATGGAGTGAGGAGGTTTGCATCGGATGAGCGGAGGCTACGGGATGTATTGTGGCGATGGAGTGGGTCAGTGAATTAATTAGTTTAAAATCTGAGTTCGAACTTTGAAAACTTATTTTCAACAATTTATATATTTTTTTTGTCATTAATTTTGAAGATTTTACCTCATAAATATCAACCTGTCTGCACTTTACTGTCAGCACAACTTAACATCAGATTCATCTCAGCACAGAAATAAAAAATGGTATCTGACCTCAGAGTCTCCAGTCTACAGTGTGGACTCTCCAGAAAACCACACAGCAGCTTCACTCCTGAATCCTGCAGGTTGTAGTTGTCACTCAGGTCCAACTCTCTCAGATGGGAGGGGTTGGACTTCAGAGCTGAGACCAGAGAAGAACAGCTGATCTCTGACAAACTGCAGTCCCTCAATCTGAATAAAGAATAACAGATGTGAGTTTAGAAGACAATGTTCCTGCTTGAAATCATTCAGTGTTTAATAATCTGTTCAGAGCTGAAGAAGGTTTACAATGTACAAGTTTAGAAAATGGAAACTCCAAACACCTGAACCCAACAGGATGCAGGTTGCAAACTGTAAAATACAAAAAGTGAAAAAGAGCTCTCATTAATATTAATGACAACGTGCTGCTGCTTCAATAAAGACGTAGTGACTTCAGCTCTTAACCTCTGTCAGCTCCACCAGTGGCTCCATCTATACAAACTCATGTTGTGCAGCCAAACACAAAGAAAAAGCCACAGAAAGTAATTGAAGATTCCACTATTAAAGATAAAGTGCTGTCATCTTGAGTGTAAATATTCAGTCAGTAGAAACGTCACATATTATCAGAAAGGTTTGGTATAAGCTGATATGTTTATTGTCTGATAGAGAAGAAAATATGTTTCTGTTTGTATTCAGAGGATCATGAGAGAAAGGTGGAAATGAAATGATGAAGAGCTTTAGAGAGAATCCACCAGTGTTGAATTATTGTTTTATTAAATATGTTTGAAATATGAAGCTCAACAAGAAGCTCAGTGTTAATCAGCATAAAATCCCCTCAAAACTGTTGATGATAAAACTGAGAATGTATGAATGTCTTCCAGGAGAGACTGAACAGTGAGCCAGACTGACACTAATGTTACTGAGACATCATCTGATTTGATGATTCACAAAAGGTTCATTAATGACAGATATTTGCTTGTGTTTATATGATTTTGGTATTTAATAGAGTTTATTTATCAGAGTATATAGCTCAGAGATCTTGTGGAACGTATTGAACTCAGACTGTTTGAGGGGCAGAGGGGGAAAATAAAAAGCACCCGTCCACAGAAAGTCGCAAGGGATTTATGGCAACACTGGTTAGTCTGGGTTAGAATAAGGACCCTACAGGGAACTTCATCATCATCTTTATCTTCAGAAAAATCACTGCTTCTCCCACGCTGTTGGAATGACAAAGGATGTTGCCGAGCTGCTCCTAACGATAGCTCAGCTTGTTTCTCTGATAATTTAAGATCCAGCCGTCCGATGACTAAAATACTTCATCCGGTTCAAATCTAGAGTTAAAAAGCACCAAGATCTAAATAGTATATGGTAAAAATGTGGCTTCAGACTGGATAAACAGTCAATGTATGACAGCTTCTGGCAGACAACCACAACGCTGACGCAGGCTCAAAGGGGATATGACGCCATCGACAGGCGACCGGTGAAACGCAGTTACCTGAATAAAATGACAGATTTCTCTGAGTTTGAACATTGTTGGAAACATTTGGAATAATGTAAGAACTCAACTACATATAGAACATAGAGCCAGAACTTATACACTGTTTAACCATTATAGATTATTGATTAAATCAACTACACATTGTTTAAATGCACATTTTAATGAGGAAATGTTAGATTATATCTTTAAAATATCAGAATTTTAAAATATACTGTGTGTGAATGACTTTGTAAAATATTTATGTTCTTGTAAAAATATTGTTTTAAAGTTTTTATACAATAATACAAACTAAATTCAGAGCCATCTGTTCAGACTGACCAACAGTGTTTGTTTTAAACAATGAAGTCATTGAAATTTAAAACTTTTGTTATGGATTTAAATTTGGTAGATATACCAAACCCAGCAAACCCATGAACTGACCTCAGAGTCTCCAGTCTACAGTGTGGACTCTCCAGTCCAACACACAACAGCTTCACTGAACCCTGCAGGTAGTTCTTACTCAGGTCCAGCTCTCTCAGATGGGAGGGGTTGGACTTCAGAGCTGAGACCACGACTTCACAGTGAGTCTCTGAGAGTACACAGTCAGAAAGTCTGAGAATACAAACAATATAACATTAACGATATGACACACACAATTATAAAAAACAGAATTTATGCATTTAGATCACAAAGAACATTAACATGAGCTGTGGCTCAGCTTGTAACTGCACTCGTATGTATTCACTTCAGTTGTATGTATGTATACGATCATACACAGAACAACATATAGCAAATTATGGCCCACTTAGTCCCATTTAAGCTTTAACTACTAGGATCAGTGGGCAGCCACTGTGCAGCACCTGGTAATGGTACTGATTGGGGAAATTACCTAACAACATATTTGGATTGTGAGGAAACCGGAGCACTTAAAGGAAACCCACACAAACACAGGGAGAACATGCAAACTCCACCCAGCTGGGAACCCAGGACCTTCTTGCTGTGAGGCCAAAGTTCAACCACTATTTCTCCTATTGCAGTGGTTCCTGACCTTGTTCCTTAAGGGACACCCTTCTTCTATCATTTAGTAAACTGACTCATATTTTATGGATATTTTATATTATATTAAAAACTGTACAATGAACCCAAACAGTGAACTCAGTAACTGCAGGAAGTTTGTGTAAAACAAGTGATTTGGATGAAGTTTGAGCAGATTATTTCCTGTTTAGGAAACCTAAACAATTCTCTGTCTGTATTGTTATTTTTTGTTTTTCTTAAAATCAAGATTACCTCGCAACCCCCTATGAAGCTTTGGCGCCCCTTAGTGGGGGTCCCAACCCTCATTTTAACCCACCCACTGTCTTCACCAAAATAGAGATAGTTATAAGACAATACAAGATAATTTGACTTTTAGAAACACCAAAATGCTAATTCTTGTTTTACCAATAATCAATAATTATCGATAATTAAACAGGTTTAATACCGATTCAGGAAAATAGTGTGGAAGTTTTATACTGTTAATGTGTGTAAAGTGTGTATCTTCACTCTAATACTGATGACTTCAGCTTTATGTTGCTTTATAAAGTTAATCACATCTGGACTTACACAGCCTTTCTGCAGTTCCTCACTGCTGGAATCAGTCTCCGTCGTCCCTCCTCTGATGTTTTGTACTTCTTCAGGTTCAACTCATCCAGAACATCCTCTGACATCTGCAGCATGTAGGCCAGAGCTGAGCAGTGGATGTCAGAGAGTTTCTTCTCTGATCTGTTCTCTGACTTCAGGAACGCTTGGATCTCCTGATGGACTGAGTGGTCGTTCATCTCCGTCAGACAGTGGAAGATGTTGATGCTTCTGTCAGGAGAGATTTTATAACTGTTCATCTTCTTCAGGTTGTTGACTGCTCTCTGGATGATTTCTGGACTGTTGTCTGTCTGACCCAGCAGGCCTCCTAAGAGTCTTTGGTTGGACTCCAGAGAGAGGCCATGAAGGAAGCGAACAAACAGGTCCAGGTGGCCATTTTCACTCCTCAAGGATTTCATCATTGCACTCCTCAGGAAGACGTCCAGAGTTGAATCAACATGTTTTTCCTCCAGGAAGTCCTTCAGTACCTCTGTGTTCCTGTTGGTGTGACAGTGGAACATGTAGACTGCAGCCAGAAACTCCTGAATGCTCAGATGAACAAAGCAGTAGACTGTTTTCTGGAAGATCACACTCTCTCTTTTGAAGATCTCTGTACAAACTCCTGAGTACACCGAAGCCTCTGTGACATCAAGACCACACTGCTCCAGGTCTTCTTGGTAGAACATGATGTTTCCTTTCTCTAGCTGTTCAAACGCCAGCCTCCCCAGTTTCAGAAAAACCTTCCTGTCAGCCTCCATCAGCTCCTGTTGACTCTTCTCATGTCCCTCTTCATACTTCTGCTTCTTCCTCTTTGTCTGAACCAGCAGGAAGTGTGAGTACATGTCAGTCAGGGTCTTGGGCAGCTCTCCTCTCTGGTCTGTAGTCAACATGTGGTCCAGAACTGTAGCAGTGATCCAGCAGAAGACTGGGATTAGACACATGATGTGGAGGCTCCTGGAGGTCTTGATGTGTGAGATGATCCTGTTGGACAGATCTTCATCGCTGACTCTCCTCTTGAAGTACTCCTCCTTCTGGATGTCAGTGAAGCCATGTACTTCTGTTACCCTGTCAACATATTCAGGAGGGATCTGACTGGCTGCTGCAGGTCTGGAAGTTATCCAGACGAGAGCCGAGGGAAGCAGATTCCCTTTGATGAGGTTTGTCAACAGCACGTTGACTGAAGATTTCTGTGTGACCTCAGACACAACTTCATTGTTGTGGAAATCCAGTGAAAGTCTGCTTTCATCCAGGCCGTCAAAGATGAACAAAAGTTTACAGACAGCGAGCTGCTCTGCTGTGACCTTCTGTAATGTTGGATGGAAAACATGGAGCAGCCTGAGAAGACTGTACTGATCATCTTTGATCAGGTTCAGCTCCCTGAATGAAAACAGAACCACAAGAATGACATCTTGGTTCTCCGATCCCTCTGCCCAGTCCAGAGTGAACTTCTGCACTGAGAAGGTTTTTCCAACGCCAGCGACGCCGTTTGTCAGTACCACTCTGATGTGTCTCTTTTGGTCAGGTAAGGCTTTAAAGATGTCGTGGCACTTGATTGGAGTGTCATGGAAGGTCTTCTTCTTGGAAGCAGTCTCAAGCTGCCTCACCTCATGTTGGGTATTAACCTCTTCACCCTGTCCCTCTGTGATGTAGAGCTCAGTGTAGCTCCTGTTGAGGAGAGTTCCACTTCCTGTTTCATCAGTTCCTTCAGTCACACGCTCACATCTCCTCCTCAGACTGATCTTATGTTCATCTAAAACCTCCTGCAGACCAGCATTCACTAAAAACAGAAAGAAATTGAGAAAATGATTTTCATTACCAGAAGAATAATTAATATAAGACTTTTCCACCTATAAATTCCACCTTATATCATTCTCAATCTTTAAAAGTTAGTTAAAAATAACATGAAAGTGATTTTTACATACATTTTTAAGAGTTAATCATTACAGGGGAAGAAAGCGACAGTCTGAACCTCAACAATTCGTCTGCAGTTGTTCATCTAAACTGCTAACTGTGTCTGTTCCTTCCTTCTTT